AATTGATTCATATTTATATTACATATCACAGAGTCGGCTCCAGAACCAATGCAAACGGGCACTAGGCGGCAAAAGTTTTAGAATTTAGAGAAGAATCGAGCAGCTAAATTTAGGGATAGCAAAATTTTTAGAATTTAGAGAAGAATCGAGCGACAAAACTGAGGGATGGCAAAATTTTTAGATTTTAGGGGAAGCACTAGGAAGCAGAGTTTGGCGCAAAAGTTTTAGAATTTAAGGAGACACCGGTCAAGAATAGAGTTTCGGATTCGCAAAGATTTTTTTTTTTTTTTTTGTTTTTTCATCGGGCGGTAAAATGCCTAGCGCTGCCCTACGACACTTGTGGAAAAGTATGGAAACATTATTTAGCCAGCCTTGAAGCATCAAAGCTAGTGGAATAAAATTTCTGCTTTTTTTCCCTATTTGTTCGTTGCTAGCCATTTTTGGAACCTGAAGGAAGGATTAATTCGACTGAGTAGACAAACAGTGTATACGTAAAGTTAGTATGCAAACTAAAACCGCAGAGCTAAAAAAAATTGAAGAATATTGAATATTGCAAAAAATTGCAAAATCAGATATCAGGAAAACTGATCAAAATAACTGTTTCCTTTTAAATAAAATAATCTTTCCTTCTATGATGGCATCCATCTTCTCAGGCCTATGTTCTAATGTTCTTTTAATGAATTAACAGACTGTCCTTTTTGAGTTGAGAAAACAAGAATTTTTTTAAACTTTAAATATCCAACTCCTTTAAACAATCTCGCCATAAAGATGCCGCCAGGTGGTTCATAATATTTCATTACAGCGAAAATCATATATATCATCGTTTATTCCAAATCAGATGCTGATACACCGTCATCTTAAGATTTTCAAATGAAGTAAGCATTAATTGAACAAATAAAAATATAACCAATAGCTGCACTTAAAATCATTTTGGACCCAAAATAATAACTTAACAAGGGGCAATAAAACGTAACTAAGTGCGTTTAACATTACTTTCGTTAATTTTCAAAATCTCCAGATTTTAAAATACAATAAAATCTCTCTTCGAAATACTTATTCAGAAAGTCTTATGCAGTCTTGAAACAGAGTATTATACTTGAAACAGAGTGCAGTCTTACTTCGAAATCTTTCTTCATTTCGAAATCTTTCAACTTACATTATTAAAATTATTCATTGTATGATTGTAAAGAGAGAAAGAGAACTATGTGCATATGCACGCAGGTGTTTTCATTTTATTGTCATTAGAAGAATCCATTTTGTAAATGAAGAATTTGTCCGTGTTCGAGATAGCAAATTATTTAAGTCGTCTCGTCAACTTTGATAACGATCCTGATGCATTGCATTAATTTGACTGTAGGACCATGTGGATTACTTTCTTTCATTAAAAAAAAATCAACAAAAGTTAAATTAAATGATGGAGGAGTTTTATTGGTACAATCTCCACACACTAAGCACAACACATCGATAACAACTGACAGATAGACAGTCTCTCTCTTAACTTCAAAGTTACAGTTAAGAAAACAGAGTGAAAAGTTAGGAACTTGCTAACAAAAATTTTAAAATATATAAAAAAACACTTAACAAATTAATTTGCAATATTTACAATCACACAGTATTTTTTACTTTTCAATTAATCATTACTTTATAATTTAAAGTTCAGAATTCTAATATTTTTTGGTAACAGTTCAAAAGAAGCGGCATATTACGCATCCGATAAGTTAAACTAAAAAGAAAACGTTTTCCAGTAAGTCAGGAATTAACTCATAAGGAATTCTCGCTTTTCAGACTCTATGCACTCGCGGTGCAAATGACAGCACGTTCGGCTAGCAGCGAAAGTTCCGGCGTTTGAATTCCTACGAACACATATCTGATGTTTCATATTTCTTGCTCCTAAAACCTACTAGTTCTACAAACTCACTTATCAGTTATTCGATAATTCATGAATTTTACTTAATATTTATATAAAACTATCCTTTATAATTAACACGCCTTAATTAATCTTTTCACATATATTTTAGATTATGGTTCTAAAACATATTTATAAACAGAAGTGCGATTTATAACATATATAGCAACAGCTCATAGTAAATGAAGACGCAAGAGAAGACAGAATGTTTCTTCAGAGTACTTATTGCGAATGTAAAACAGAAAGTTTAAAAGCAATAAAAAATAATGCATGTTGGATAGAAAGATTGTTTGGAATGCAACAAATTAGTTTTCTGTTCGAAATGATATTAAAATCAAATGTTATTGTATTCTAAAAATGTTGTTAACTAGTGGTATTCTGATGTTTTTAGATAATTGAATAAAAGATAAAATTAGATAGTATACATTCCTGATTACATTTAAGTAACGTCAGAATCAGTGAAATGTACTGCACATTATCTGAGTTTAGTTATATTTCATGAGTAATTAAAATAACTAATGAAAGCTTTTCAGGTGAAAGGTAATATTGCAAAGGAAAAAATAATTTCAAATTCATATTTATTTTCTATAAAAAATCTTAATTTTGGTACCTGTAAAGCATTTTTGTTGAATATATATTGTAATTCAAATATACTGACGGCTAAATATCAAATTCTTAGACTGACATTTCTTTCAAATGACTCTAACGTGTTTTATTAATCATTAAACTATTTGCTTTAGTTTTAAACTAAAAATAAGCAAATTATAAAAAATTTCTAAGTTTTCAGAGAAATTATACCAAGTGGGACAAATCTTGAGAATAAATAATGACAACCTAATCACTTTTTGTTATTTATCAAATTCTTCTTTGACGCATAAATAAAAATGCGTATGTTCGTACGCAAATAATTATAAATTAATATATTTCTTACTACCGCTTGATATTTGATGGCATTTTGATTGTTATAAAGTTGGAGAGAAATTTTTTGAAACTATCTTCATCGCGGATTGTAGATGCTTATCGGTCAATCACGTTTTTTTCTTCTTTCAACTGTGGGAAAAAAAATCGCTCTTCATATATAAACGTATTCCGAAACAAAACAATTATTCTTAGGGCAAACATTCGTAACTAAGCTTATTTATTTTACGACAAGTATGAATAGAAGCTAATAAAGATCTTCCGATTTTTAATAAGGTTTATATACCATTGTAAACTAATTAATTCCAATTATAGATTTTCTGTTGTGTTATTTGTGTTCATTTTTGACGGAAATGAAAATAATGAAAATTCGGACTTCAAGTCAATACAATCTTGAAATCTTTGCAACACAGTATTTGCAACAAATATATAACTGAAATGTCTTAGCGGGTGCATAAAAGTGCTTTGGGGGCCACCATTTTGAGATGCAAAAAATCACTTAACAGTTCCTTTTGGGTGTGGTTCCCAATGAACTGTCTTGCTACATGTTTGCAAGTTGAATATGAGCCAGTTTCCCTTAGAAAGTCCTCCATGAGAGAGAATATCGATAGCTCTTATATGCTATATCACAATCAAGCGAATGTAATTTTCTTTGTCTGTGCTCGAAAATAAACTTTTCTGAATCAATTTACTCATGCAATTCTTCAGAAATTAAAACCGGACACGACCATTCTTTAATATTACAAATCGAAACTGATATAAGACCTGCACGTCAACTTAAAATGTAATGAAGCCAAAGATCAAACAAAATTTAGTTTTAATTTCAGTAGCAAAGATTTGAGAACATTTTGAGAAGGCCGTTCATAGTCCTTTTTTAAGTTAATATTTGGTGTAGCCGAAACTCGTTATCGTGTGGGCTTTGAAGAATTCGAGAAAACAAAAATTATTTAGATGACAATGCTAAATGCCTTAGCATGTCATATTGTACCTTTCATCTCTGAAAACAAGGATGTAGAACAATAATACTCACATTATAGATAAATAGAAAAATCTCAGCTGATAGTCAACAGTTCGCTTGTTTGATTTATAGCAAATCAGGTGAAAACTATTTGTCTAAGGAGAAGAAAGAAGGTGAAATTCCCTTAGGAAGTCCTCCACGAAGAGAGAAATCTTCGTGGAGAACTTTCTAATGAAATTTCGCTCTCGGTGAAGTTGCACACGAGGAAAATTGGGATAATTTCCATCTAGTTTGTCTATTTACTAGGATTTAAGTTTGAGTCAATTCACCAGTGTCGATAAGCTTAATTAATCAATTGTAGGGCCAATAGTCAGCAACCGCCTGTCTTCATGAATTGTTACAACGCAATGATGAATCAACAAGGGAAGATTAATTTCCAATTCTTCTGAAGCGGTAATTGAGACAGATGCATTAATCTTTAACATGTGTCTAGACTGCAGAATATTATTTATTGATGTTACAAATCGCGTAAACGTGTACGCATTCATTGTCATATTCTAAAGCACGGCTGCTGATACTTTTTAAAAGGTCCTTTTTTGCATATTCATATGTATGCTTTGTGCCTTCTTGCCTTTTTCACCCGTGCAATCTAAATACTACTGACTATGCCGTTGATGAATTTCAGTAATACAAATTTTATGTTAGTTTTCCTGTACGTACAGTTTCCTTTATTTATGCTTTTCATTTCTCACAAGGTGTCATGAATCTTCTTAATACGTAAACTTATAATACTTTAAAAACTTGAGCGTTAAATGAATATCATCTGTACCATTTTGAACTAAATGTGCGTACAAAATAACATTATACCAGCACGTTATACTGAAATAATTAACACTTATTTACCGGCAATGTGAAATAATGGCTGTAAACTATGCTTCCATAAATACACATTTACCGCCAATGTGAAATACTGGCTCTAAACTATACTTCCATAATTTTCAGAATTCATTTAGAACTTGAAAGAAAGAAATCCAGATAATAATTTCTATGTTTAATATTAATAATACTACGTAAATGGAAATATGAATAGAAGCTCGACTTTATTTATGCTCATGCAAGATCATGTAGTGTGAGTGAAGTGTTGATAATTATTCACTACTTAAGTTAATAATTATCTAAGCATTATTAATATCGATAGTTATCATAAATGCTACTCACCATTGCCTTTGCTCTCCATGCTTGTGTGAGACAGACTTAATCCTGAACTATGCAATGAAAGGGTTGTTGCAGTACTGAGAAGGAAAAAATGAAGATCGGTCACAAGGCCGTTGGTATGAGATAGGGAAAAGAAACCTGTTTCGTTTTTCCCCAGGCAAGGCCGGGAAAAGCGATTGGTGTGCTCGTATTTACAATAATTTTCTATCAAGTCAATTTGAAGACCTTTAAATCAGCAAGGTCGGGATAGCATCTCCTTTCGTTGATTTGCTGTGTTTACGTATGGAAAGAAACTCTTAATCACAATATACTGCCTTTCCTTATTAGATGAACGAAAGTAGTAGTATATCGGATTTAATTAGAAAGCTGATTTTCAATTGAAATTTCCTGAAAACCATGAGACGAAGAATAAGTATTTGGACAGCACTGAAGAAATGAGCAACACGGGGTTGAAGACATTCATGGATTCTTAGTGTAGTTTGTGTCTTTAGCAACTGACACGGCCCTTCAAAACCAAAGGAAGTGCTATAATTCCAAGACAGTTAAAATAAGATTGTAGATTTTTTTTAACTATGCAACAATAAGTTTGATAAAGTTATTTTATCGATTTAATCAGCTGAGTGCTTATATCTTAGAAAAATTTCGTTACCTAGATTTAATTTAAAGTTGAAACTTCATACTTTTTAATTTAATTAAGTTTAATTTGACTTTTTCATTCTCTGTGTTAGGAATTTAACTGCACTGGTAAGTACTATAAATATCGAAAATAAGCAATTACTTGCTACTAAACAAACGCTTTGCGATTGCTTCTTACGCCTTGACTGCACCTTTATGCTTATTCAACATTTTCTTTGCCGAATTCACAAAAATCATATGTATCAGGAAAGATATTCTAAATTTTGAATCTTCTTGCGGATTCCCCTCATCGGACTCTGATCACTGAATTCATCCACAAAGATAAGTTTTGTCTCTTTGTAGGGACGCAGATAGCCCTGAATTTGGAGGAGTTCCCCATTTGCAGTAACGTAATTTCTCCAAAACAGATTAAATTTTTGCGAAATAAAGTACCTTATTTGAGTTCAAGCTTGTGAAGGAAAAAAAAATTGGGCGTTTTAAACATACATATATCTTTCAAAGTAATACACTCATGTTCGTATTCTGAAGGCAGGTATTAAACACTGCCACTGCATATGTAAACATATTTTACGATTTTGCTGCAATTTTTATTGAGCTGAATACTTCAAGAATCTATAGAAATTAAACGTTAAATTAAAAAAAACATTGAAGGAAATTCAAGTCAAAAAAGTATGATGATGATGATGATGATCCTCAGAAATGATTTAAGAAATTTTTAACTTATTAATTTCTGTTATTTGGGTTCCTCTTCAAAAACCTGTCTCAAAATCGTTATTAATGACCACAAAGTTGAGCTTTGATTATATATTTCTTTAAATGAATTAATGATAAATTAAATTTACGGTATTAATTACATATTACTTTCTAAGGCCTTGTTTAGTTTTACTAACTAATTATTTTATGTTAATTTTCTTTTCTGTCCTTCTTGTTTCCCATTTTCCTGCCAGAATGTAAATTTCTAGCTCAAATGAGAGAGAAGGGAAACATAATTTAAAGAAAGGTTTTAGAGGGTAGAATTAGAGTGTGTTCCGCCTGCTAAAGCAAAGTTGCTAATTTGATCCTCTTAAGAGCTGTATGATGCGGAGTTCCGTTAGTCTTGCTATTAGGCTTGTTACTACTTTTTACAAAACTACTTTTCCAAAGCACCAGTTACTATTTATTCTGATCATGCCGCTTCCAGGGACTTTATACCCAGGAAAGAATTTACGGCATAAATTTAGTAGATGGGCCCTTGAACTTCAAAAATTCAACTTAATTATTAAACGTACTTTCCGGGAAGGAAAATACGATTACCGATGCACTCTCAAGAATTAAGTTGAATAAGGAAGGGAATAGAGTAAAATGTGCTATGCTTACTGGAAAAATCCTTGAGTCAAGGAAGACTACTGTACAAGAATTAGAAAGAAACCCACGAATTTAGAAACCTCTATTCTTATTTGAAATATCCGTATCGTTTCTTGCTATTATCCGTATCATCGTAATCACCGGAACATTACGGTCATCGGAAATAGATCCAAGAACTAGGAAGTTATCCATAATCTTTTATTTTATGAAAAAGCAACAAATTAAAATTATAAGCTTAGACCGGTTATGCAAGCAAATTTAAGGTTAAACATTCTAAATGAATTACACACGTTTGTCATTTCTGCTTACCTGGGAATAACTAAAATAATACAACGAGTTCACGAGGCGGTATATGTTCTGCAGTTGCTAAAGTTTGTAAGCGCGTGTGTCAGGTCGTGCCATACTTGTCAGTTGCATAACGATGTTAATTATAACCGGGCGGGTACTTAAATAGTACGAAGGCTGCGTTTCCAAATTACTTAGTTTGAATAGATTTATTATGCCCACACGCACGTAGTGAAGTTAATAAATATAGATACTTACTTTCGTTATTTTACACCTTTTCTCTAAGTGGGTAGAAATAGCCCCATAAAAAGGGCCTCTGCTAAAATATTTGCAGATTCCTTCTTAAATAAATATATTTTTAAATACGAAGCTCCATTAAAAGCAATATAGGATAACGAAAAACAGTTTGCTAGCAAACTATTTGAGAACCTATATGTAGGACTTCATATGCGACATCTAAAAATGGTGCCTTATCTGCCGTACTCAAACATAGCGGAGCGGATCAATAAGAACATAGTTAAAATTCGACGTTGCTATGTGAAAAACTGTGATAAGCGCTGTGATAGCGATGTCTATGAGTTACCATTTGCCTTAAGATCAGCTAAGCCTGACATGCCAGGAAAGACTCCAGCAGAACTATTAGGCCAAAAACTAATAAATGCCGCTGGATAAATTATTCTTTGTGGAGAAGCGAGCTCCAAACGACAGATATGCAGGAAACAATAAACGAAGCAGTGAAAATTTTGGATATGGCAAGGGAAAAACGAAAATTGTACTCTGATAGAAAAAGGTAAGAAACAAATTATAAAGTGAGAGACCAAGTACTGAAAGCAAAACACTCTTTAACATGTAATGTGGAAGACAGGGTAGCTAAATTTTGTCCACTATTTGAAGGGCCATACGTAATTGAAAGAATTCGAGAAACGGTAGTTTACTTAAAAGATAGAAATGGGGAAAAGACAATGGCGAACGCATACCAGATTAAGCCATGTTATGATTGTACTGAGAAGCAAATCTTCAGAGGTTTCTTACAAGAAGGAAAAAAAAAATCTGAGCAAGCGAGGAATAGAGGCAGAGCACAGTTGACTTCGAAAGTGCAAGTTGATGATAGGAAAATACGGGGAACCAACATTTCGGATGAAAGTCAAAAAGAATAAGCAAGGAATCAGAATCTAGAAAGGACAAGACGCCAAGAAAACAGCCGAAAAAAAATGAGTCCAGAAGCGCACGAGAGCGTCCAAAAGATATTCAACTTACATTCGGAATTTGAAATATATATATATATATATAATATATATATATATGTGTGTGTGTGTGTGTGTGTGTGTGTAAAATATAAAAAAAATACGATGGCTTTGCTCTTTGCGAACCAGCAACCTTTAATTAATTTTCTGCAATTCAGCATCTCCCCTTAGACCATTACCTTCTAGAACATTCGCGCCTATTACATAACCTCCTCATATAAATGCTGCGTCATAAGTTTTTCTACATTTTTCTAGAAGCTACTCTGTTACATAACCTTTCATATAAATGCTGCGTCATAAGTTCTCCTACACAGATGCCTTCTCGCCTTCGTTCTGCTAACGCTTCCGTTATGCTCCTCTTTCTTTGTTAGAACGTTATGACGTCTTAAAATTTAAAGTCGTATGTAATAGTTCAATTACTGAATAAGTTTATGTGTCACTAATTGCCGCGTGAAGCGGACAGCACGCAAATATATGATTTTGATATAAAATATAAAAAAGGATCTAGTAATGTTGAAGCTGACATGCTCTCTAGAAATCCTATGTGTCAACATTTAAGATTGCAAGTTAATTTATTATCATTAGAAGAAATAAAAGAATATCAAAATTTAGATAATGTTTGTAATACTAAGTATAGGAAAATGAATGATGTCTTAACTATCAAAAAACAGGGATTGTACAAAATTGTGATACCCATGTCTCTACGTACGAAATTACTTGAAAAGGCCCATATATGTAGAATTTGGTCATATTGGTGTATCATCTATGCTAAATTTGTTATCTCCACAATATTACTGGCCAGGAATTGTTCAAGATGTTAGAAATTATTGTAAACATTGTGAAGTATGTGATTGTGAAGTATGTTTAATAAGAAAAGTAAACAAAAGAAATTTGGTTTAATGCAAAATTTACCATCAGTTAGTGAACCTTTTGAAATATTATCTATTGATACTGTAGGTGGTTTAAATTATTATAATTCTACTAAAATGTATATTCACATAATTATTGATCATGCAACTAGATATATCTGGACTTTTGCTTCTAAAAGTGTAACTACAGATACTTATATAAATTGCTTAAACAAATTTTCCAAATTCAGGTCCCTAAAAGATTAAATAGGAACGCTGTTTACATCTTCAAATTTTAAGCACTTTTTAAAAATAATGTAAACAATGCTCTACCATAGACACTTTTGATTTCAACAAGCGTATTCGGAAACTAAGTACCGTTTCATTCTAGCGCCGTCGCCGCGCTGTGGTAGGCGTCCCGCGCATGCGCACTAGTCTTTCTTGTTCACTGACTTTCAATTGTCGCCATTTTGGTTGCTCTATGTTGTGTTTTCAGTTTGCTGTGCACATTCAAAATGTTTAAGACAATTAGTTCTCCCGCTGACTGTGAGATTCGTGCCGTGATTAAATTTTTGAACGCGAGGAATGTTAAACCGGCCGAAATTTATCGTCAAGTGACAGAAGTTTACGGTGAATACGCGATAAGTGATGGAATGGTGAGAAAGTGGGTAAGAATGTTTAATGCAGGTCGAACAAATGTCCACGCCGAGGCTCGGAGTGGTCGGCCTTCTGTTGTCACCGATGATTTGGTAAGGAAAGTTGATGAAGCAAT